ATTATATGCAGTTGCACTCTACACATTTGTCACTGTCACTAAGACTTTTTTCATGTATCATTGCTCTGGATTTTTAAGTTTTGTCACTTTAAAAAGTGGCCAGAATCCTACCAGTAATTTACGGATGCATACATGAAAACATTTAAGTCATTGCAGTGAACTGCTACTAATCAATAAGGTGGTGCTTGCATTCCTGGTCAGATACACAGTCATATGATGTGCACACAACCAGATATAAAACTCGTATCTTAGTAATTACAGTGGTGGCCACCATAGCAACGATAATCCGTTCCGGAAAAATCGTCGCTATACGGATTCGTCGCTATGCGGAACAAAAGAGCCCATAGAAACGCATTCAAACGCGATTAATGTGTTCCTATGGGCTTCAAACTCACCGTTCAGCGACGATCCTCCATAGCGCGGCCATTTTTTCTGCCTGTTAAGCAAGGAATCTGTCCCAGAAAACAGCAGGCGGCCATTTTGAAACTGCCAATCAGCTGTTAAAAATGCATTGCTTTGCGATGTTCCCCAAGCAGGGAACCGATCATGGCAAAGCACTGCCAGTCAGCCAGCCCCGGATGACGCCTGGCCTCCTTGGCGGGGCTGTCCCGGGGTGCAGACGGGCGGGCTGGAGGGTCTTTCTCCGGCGAGCGAGGGCTCAGAGGCAGCCGCCCGGGGCAGGAAGGGGTGGGCCATCCACCCAGCGCTCACTCGCCAGCCAGCCAGCCCGGGAGACACCGGCCATCCTTGGGCAGCGGGCGAGCGACGGCTCGGGAGGAGGGCCGCCGGAACACCAGGCCCAGCCGCTGCCGCCCTGACCCCGGTCCCGGGCAGGCACCTCCTCCTTTGCAGTGCCTCCCGCCGCAATGGCTCTCTGGCTCGGCACCCCAGGGGTGCACGTGGGGATCGGGGCCAGGCCCTTCGCCCCTCCTTCCCTCCCTCCTCCCGAGGCACCAATCCGGATTGCCCCCGTTCCCCCCTCCCGCCATCCCCTATTTATGCAAGAGCTCTGGGGGGGGTAGCGTGTGGCGCCGATCAGCTTTTTAAAAAGCATTGTTTTCCATGATCGGTTCCCCAAGCAGGGAACCGATCATCGCAAAGCGAAATTCCCCCATAGGGAACATCGGAAAGCGATTGCAAAATCTTCATCGCAAAGCGATTTCATCGTTAGCCGAAGCAATCGCTATGCGAGGCACCACTGTAGTGGCAATCTGCTGATATAGTTCAAACAAGCCAGACTTCTTAAGCCAAAAACCACAGTTTCAGACAGTAGGTTTTTGCCTGATAGAAACAAAACAATCCAGTGCTGCACTGGCACAATTTCTTATTCTCTTCCCCTTGCAGCCCTAAAATTCATCTGTCCAGAACCAATTTGGGGAATAAACTGCAAAGGGAGGGACTGCCCTTTTCATTTCCACTGGATACTTCTGTACCACAACCAGAAGTGCAATACTGAATACTGCCTTGTAGCTTGTTATGAGGGAGAGTTCACAAACCACAAGCTCAGATTCAGTATGTTGTCATGCAAAGAATGATTGAATCTAGTCAATGTGCCTGAACCACAAAAAGTGGACACTAATTGACTAGTTGCTTCATTTTTGACAAAAATATTGAAGTTTGACCTAATTACTAGACTACAGAAAACAGCATACAGTAATTTAAAAGATGTTGGCCAGAATCCTACTGGTGATTTATGCATGCACAGGTTAAACTGTATGACTCACTAATACAAACTTCTGCTAACTACAAGTCATATTCCCAACTGCACAATTGCGCAGAACTTACAAGACGTGTAAAGCTTTATACAAAAAATCTAAATCTGTAAATCAATTCAAATACAATTCTTGAGTCAACGTAACTGTAATCTGACCTTAGTTCCAGTGCCAATGCATTTGTCACCAATGTTGATGCATGTTTTTAAAGTTTCTTTGAATCACACTATATTACTATAGTTCTTGATCCATCCTAATTTTTTACAGCCTAGTTCAGTAAGTCTTCTGATCAGGCTATCTGTCCTACTTATTTTGATTCCCACAGCACTATACCCTAATCTTATACATATGTGCTGAAATTGTCTCTCTGCAATACCATAGCTGATGTATAAAGTCACAAGTGTGATGTTGCTCTGGCACAGCATTCCATATATCTTATTCTATGTATTTTATATGCAAAGAAATCTTATTTTAAGATTATGACAGAAATCCAACTCAGCTGGGTATTGGACGATATTCTACTCAGATTCTTCTATGTTTTGCAACAAGATTAAATTCAATGACATAATATTACACACAGCTGTCATTTTTATGCATGTATCCATAAATGTCAGTTAAACTCAAGAGCAAGCAATTAAGCAGGTTCACAGGCCTACACATTAAGCTTGCTTTATATGCACTGTAAATGGCCTTAATGAGGTTGCTAGGCTAAAAAAATACTTAATTGGAATTTTGCTCTACCAGAACAAAGAAGTTACAAGTATATTCTTCTGAGGACTAAAATAAGATGAAGACTAAAATATCTAGCCAAATACAATGGATCTCTGAGTTTCAGGAACAGACCCTGCCAATATTTTCTTTAAAATAATGATGTAACTTTATAAATGCAAAATGTGGTCTACTATTAAGCTACCAATAAGGAATGTTCAGTCGACTATAATGAAAAGACTACCTAGGCTTATGCCATAAATTCTTCCAAATAATTACAGCTATATGGGCAAAATTTCAAGGGATTGATAACGAACGAGTGAGCCAGTTATGTTACTAAAGTATAACTGATTTATAAAACTGTAAAGAATACGATTTATTAAATCACATTATTTTCAAACATTGGGCTTCAGAACTTCCACTGATGGCCTACTGATTTTAACTGGAATACGTTCCCATGATGCAACAACTAGGGCCTACTAGAAATGTGCCTTCAAATATCCTCAAAACAATCATACAGTACATTACCAATGGCTAACAAAGCCAGCTTCAGGGATGGGATTTAAAAAACACATATTTTGTTAGAATTAATAAAACTGTTTCCATAATATTTAACCCCCATTATTTAACCCATCACCAGCCTAAAACTGCTTTTTAAATTCAGGTTCATCTTCTCCTCACTCCAGTGCCTAAAATTTCCATTAAGAGAGTTTTATAACAGACCTGGGCAAAGTGTGGCCCGAGGGCCACATATGGCCCGCGGACAATTTTGAACATTTATAGCTTTTTGTCTAAAATTGATCAGTTGCTTATCTTTAACGCACTGCAAAAAAAAAAAACCCTCTTTAGTATTTGTGAAGATTAACAAGTTTAAAAGAAAAACAATCATAACATCACTGTTTCATTTTATTTTTAAGTAAAGTTGGTTTGGCCCCCGAACACAGTTCAGATTTTTCATGTGGGCCCCCTATAGAAATTAATTGCCCACCCCTGTTTTAGAATCTGGTCCTTTTAAAGCCCCTAGCTCAGATTTCCTTTACATTTCCCAACAAAAATGACTCTAAAAGATCATTTTTGAAGAATAACCATTCATTGCCCATCCCTACACCTAATTCAGCCATGTCACAGATGTAAAACCTATTAAAAATACTCACCATACAACCCTAGATTGTGCTACTTTCTAACATCCAGTGACTTTAGATAATAAGAGATTTAATACAATGCCTATCAGACATGCCTTTCTTGTGATTTGATAGTTACCCTTCAAGTATCCTACCTAGTTTCTAAAGGTTACTAATAATTTCATAACTTTCACTACAATCCTCAAGGTGATTACAAAAACCACTTGATAGCCTATTGTGGACAGAAACTGTTTCAAATAAAGACACATTGACCAAATATTCGAAGCACATAAACTTTTTCATCCACACGCTCTCCTGAATCGTCTCAACACACACCACCTGGCACTCTCTCTTAATTCATCCAACTGCAGTAATAATACTGTCACGGCCTCTATGTAAACTTATCAAATATTAGGGCAGCAACCACAAAAAGACGCCTTTAAACCAAGCATATGACACATCAAAGGGCGTTGGTGCAGGAATCCACCACTCGACCTGTGGTACAGCCGCCTGGAAAAACAGAGGAACTCGGGAGTGACAAAAGTCAAGGGAGAACGGGGTGGGCGAGGAGAGTGAATATTTCATGTGGAAAATAGGAAGACAGGAAGCGTGAGGAGTTCCGTTCTTCCTTCCCACTCTTATACAAGCCTTGCCGGGCCACCGGCACCGGCACCTTGGGCCTTTCCTCCACCACACGGGAAAAGGCGGCGGAGAGCACACGGAAGCCTCGGTTCTCCTGCCGTGACAGTTCCGTGCGTGGACTGCCACGTCTGGCTGTGGAAAAGCAGAGGACGGGGGCCAAGGGAGCCTGGGCCGGGGACTGAAGAGGGAGGCAGGCAGGCAGGCAGGCAGGCAGGAAGGGAGGCAAACTGCGCTGCGGAAGAACGAACCAGAGGGCGCGGGGAAGGAGAGAAAGGCGACGGGCAAATCTTGAGGCCGGCTCTGCAGGAAAAGCCAGGCCCTCTCCCTCCACGAGCCCTGCTCGCCCCCAGTTGACTTGGTGAGGGCCGAGCCGAGGGCAAGGCCAGCAACGACGCCAGAGAGGAAGAGGCCATTCCGGCCCCCTCCCCGGTTCCCCACCGCACACCGACCCCGGGAAACGGGACGGGGGATCAGAGGTTGGCGTGAAGAGAGAAAGGGAGGAGAGCAAGATGGCGACGCCGCGTCCCGTTCCCCCCCCCCGATCCGAAGCTCCCACCCCGATAGACGCCCGGAATGAGGGTGGGGGGGCAGGGAGGGCTGACTGGACCAAGCCCCCGGGCCTGCTAAGTTCACGGGGGGCCACTCTTCCCCACGTCTCTTCCTTCCACGTACAACTACACACAGAGTGAGAATGGGAAAGGGAGAGTGAAGAGACACGAATTCTCTTCCTCTTTCCTGCCTGCCTGCCTTCCACCGCCCTCTCCCAGCCCCGCGTGCCCCTCGTTTCTGTCCCTCCGTGGATTTTTCTCTCGAGTACCTTTGAATTTAAGGTCGGTGGGCGGATCCAGCACCAAGATCTGCTCGTGCTTGGCCAGACCTCCGGCGGCCGCCATCGTTGCACACACGGTCGCTCAGTCCGGGGAGGAGGAGGAGGAGCAGGCGGGCGGGCTGGCAGGCAAGCAAGCAGGCGGAGGAGGAGGAGGAGGAGGAGGAGGACACTTCGGTCGGGGAAGGAGGGAAGCCTACAGGAGGAAGGCTCGTAGCAGGAGCAACGCGCGCGGCCGCTGCTGTCTTTCTTGGAGTCGTCGCGGCTTCCTCTCCTCCTCCTCCTCCTCGGCGCGCTCACGTGGGCTGAGAGGCGCACGGCTTCCCCAAACCAACCACCTCAGCTTTCTCTCTATTATTCCCTTCCTTCCTTTTTTCCCCCCCTCTTAAGGACCGACTCCCCCGAGGAGAGCCAGCGCACTGCGATCGACCACACCGATCTTGGCGCGGGCACGGGCGGTCTCGTTCTCGCGACGGCGCGCCAGCCTGTGGGCAGCGGAGGGGCGGGGAGGGGAAGAGAGAGAGAGAGAGAAGAGGGCGAGCGCGCGGGCACGAGCGCCGATCCTCTTTCGAGTCTTCGGCTCGTGTTCCGTGGCCGCCCCTGGTTGACAGCTTCCCTCCTAGGCACGGGCCTCCTCCTCCTGCTCCTCTCCTACCCAGAGGGCATGGTCACGCGCGTTGGCAAGGCGTGGGCAGGCAGGGAAGTGACGGTGGGCTCGGTTTGTCAATCTGTCAGGAATCCTCCGGAGCGGGAAGCGGCGGCGAGAGTGGACCGGGGGTCTGGGTGGGGGGTAAAAGGGGAGACGGAGTAGAGTAAAGGACCCGGGCCCAAACTGGAATGGGGAAAACTGACACCGAAGCGTACAGCCTCAGACTTTTCCCCGCCGCCGAAATGAAGGCGGACTGAAAAACTCTGCTTCCCGGCAAGCAGTGCGTCCCCCGGCTTCGTGGTCGTGCTCGAGCTATGGCATGCTGGGAATTGTAGTCTTCCTGAGAAGAAGGAACAGGTTGGACTCAGTTGAGGAAAGGTGAACGTTCTGCACATTCTCCCCATTAATTTGCCTTTGTGCGCTAGTTTCCTCAGTATAATCCTAACCTCATTTCGGGGTACCTAACTGGCAGTTGGTTGTAGCTGTACGGTATGGTGCGGCTGGGCGCAGTTTAGTCCATAAATGTTAATTTCAAAAACCGACGAATGTGTCCTGCTCCGAAGATCAGAAAAGGAGGATAGGTTTGCCATCCTTCAAATTCACAGTTCTTGAATAATATTCTGATAATTTATTCATTGTGTTTCCGGCTCTTATTTATTTACCACATTGTAAATTGATTTGAATTCCAAAAGCTGCAAAAGAAATTTATCTAATCCTGTACCCACAATAGTAAGACAGGTACTCGTTGTCAGTCAGAGCCATAGTTTCAAGATTTTCAAACCGGAACACTTGGCGGGCTTTAAAATTAGTTTTTAAAACATATCAATGTGGTGGGTTTTTTTGGTTACTAGGTAGCAAACTTCCTTAACCATTGTGTAGATTTGCAATTTGTGTTGTTTGATGTGGAGGGGTGGGGAATAGTCAGAAGGGAAGAATCAGAATTCTCCCCCAAACCAATTCCATCCCAGTTCTTTATTTGGATGAAAGAGACTATCAAAAAATTGAGCCACCATATGTATTCTAATTAGCACGCATAGGAATGAGTTTTGAATCACATCTTCATATATCCCCCCACATGCGTAGGAAGTTGTGCTGTGAATCTCACCCCTCTGTTGTCATTAGCGCACTATACTTGACAGTGTCTTCTCCCAAGCAAAGCCTTGGGCTAGGTGTCATTCAGTAGCATATCATAGAAGACACTCCCCTAGATATGTGAGAGTATGACTTGGAGGTGGTTCAAAGGTTATTCCATGGTGTGTACTGTGTAACCTCAGTTCTTCATTGGTTAATATTGGCAGGTGGAAACCATGTTTGAAAGTGCCTTGTATCTACATGAAACGTTATACTGGACATGATTCAATAGCTTTAGATAGAGTACACTTCTGAATGCAATTCACAGGATTTCTCTAGGAATACAGCAGGGTAATAAAGGAACAAGAATATGAGGTATCTTGGCCGGTTCCCCCCCCTCCCCGTTTCCTCCCTAGCTGAGTTTGTGTTGGAAAGATTAAGGGAAATAATGAGTGCATGGAGGGTAGGTTGTTAAGAAACATAGTTTGTGACATTAGACATCACTACTGATCACCTTTTAAGGCATCAGTGTTAGCTTCCAGTTTTCTTGTTTGCACCATTTATTGGAGCCTTAACTTCCATCCTAAACTACCAGTCTTTTTGATAACTAAGTATGATGTGGGGCAGGCAAAAACTTACTTTATGCACAATGGCATATATAAACATTAGTTCTTTAAGTTTCCTGACTGAACTTTTGTGAAAATGAGGAGCGGAGAACTAGTAACCGTCTTTAATATTGTACCACTTGCCATAACTTAGATTGGCTAAGAGTATCAAGGAGAAAGAGGAGTAATAATTTCAATAATTAGAAAGCGCCAGTTTTTCTTCAAGAAAAATAACACAAAATAAAAAGGTGGACACTTGAAGCTTTTGATTTGTAATCACAGAGTACATACAAAATTGCTCTATAGCAATTATGTTAAAGATGTTGATATTTTGAACATTTATTTAAAGATTTGCTCAGAGAAGGAATTTTTGTCCTTTTTTGTTTTTTTTAATAAAGATTATAGCCTTGTCCTCCCTCCCTCCAAAAGGGGAGGGTAGCCCTGGGTGAATTTTTCCCCATCTTGTCTCCCTCCTGCCTTTTTAAGCCTTATTTTTATGTACTTGAATATTACGAGGGGGTGCTGATAAGTATTCAACCTTTCCCAGAAAAAATTGAGCTAGGAAGCTGTAACTGCCACACTCTTCTACATATTCCCCCAGGAAGTCAATGCACGTGTGACATCTGTCCTGCAGCTTCTTAAGTCCCTGCAAATAAAATTCTTACGACTGCTGGTGTAACCACTCATTTGCAGCAGTTGCCTTCAGAACACTCCCAAATTGTTGTCCCTTTAGGTGTTTTTTGAGTTTGGGGAACAGATAATAGAAGGAGCCAGGTCGGGAGAATAGGTGGATGGAGCATCACTTGAAAGCCTAAGGAGGTCAGTTTTGCCATTGTTTCACCTGCAGTGTGTGACGAGGCATTGTCATGCAACAGGATGACACATTTGGAGAGCTTTCCTTGATGTTTTGCCTCAACTTCGTCAATAAAACACAGTAATATTTTTCCATTGGTGGTTGAACCCTGTTGGAGGTAGTCCACCAGCAGAACTCCCTTCTTATGCCAAGAAACTAGCCATTTGCTTCTGCACCGACCTTTGTACTCAGAACTTCTTTGGCCTGAGGGAACCACTGTGGCTCCATTCCTTAAACTGTTCCTTTGTCTCAGGATCATAACAGTAGATCCATGTCTCATCACCAGTTAGCAGTTTGCCCAGGAAATCTGACTCATTTCTTGCAAAATGTTCCAAAACAGCCACCAATGACTCCACACGTTTCCTCTTTTGTTCGGTTGTCAAAAGTTTGGGGATCCACTTTGCTACCAGCTTTCTCATTTCCAAGTCGTTGTGGATAATGGCACCAACTCTCTCACGTGATATTCTCAGATATTTAGCAACACTTTTGGGTGATATTTGGTGGTTCTCCATGATCATGTCATGGATGGCTTTCACATTTGCAGGTACAGAGACAGAAACAGGCCTTCCACTGGGTTTCGCACTTTCAACACCGAAATGGCCAGTTTTAAAATTGACAACCCAACGTTTAACTGTTGCATATGAAGGGCCACTGTCACCCATAGTTTGTGACATTTCATCATGGATCTACTTTGTATCTTTCCCTTGGAGAAACAGGAACTTGATCATGGTCCTATGCTCTTCCACATTGAACTTTTCTGGAGGTGCTACCATGTTCACTTTGGACCGGAAAATGAAATTTAAGTTAAAATCATAGGTAGTTAATTTTTGCACCGTTGAATATAGACAAATTGGCCAATACACCCTGCAATTTATAACTTCCTAGCTCAATTTTTTTCTGGGTAAGGCTCAATACTTATTAGCACCCCCTCGTAGTATATCACATGCTTTGAGGCCAAGCAGAGCTTATAGGACAAAAGAAATGGAAGGAAGCACTCTAAACTGGCCTCACCTGCACGAGCTCTATGCACGAGCTTTGGCAAACACACCTTGCACTTGTAGAATGACTATTACGGTTACATATAAAAGAGAATAGAAAATGTGTGCAACCTTAACCAATTTTCCAGGAAAATTAAAATAAGGGAAAATGTAGCCACTCTTTAATGCAACTAGATAAATACGGAGTTACCAATAAGAAATTAGTAACTAATACTGTATACTCTAAATATTATCTACTGTAGAAATATCTTGGGGATTTTCATGTGCCAATAGCCAATTGTCACAAGGGCAGAAATTTGTATTTGATTTTAACTCTTGTATTTCACTGTTACAAGACTGTGCTTCATCTGCTTTCTAAGGTATAGTAGGTCAGTTGTGCATGCTTCTATTTCCATCTCCTACATTTAGAGAGGAAGGAGGTTTAGAATTTCAGTGCAGTTAATTGCTCGGGAAAGGAAGCAACAGGATAGAACCTTCCTTTCACCACAGGCACAGATACATCAAGGTGTTGTTGTTATATCTTAGTGATCTCTTGGCTACATAACTGGGTGTGTTAGGTATGTAACTGCAGGCAAAACTATACTGTAGAGATTGAATGTCATCAGAAGTTAAAATCCATTCGTCTGTCTTGGGATTGTCACAGCCTTACTCCTAAATCTCAGGCTTAGACTAAGAAGAAAAACTCTTTTATTTGTGTGGGCAGAGAACAAGGGAGAGAGGGGTGAAAGAACAAGGTGCTTAGAAATGAAAGATGTTAAGAAGCTTGCTATCCTTCACCAACATCACAATCTTATATATGTCTACTGATTTCAGTGAGATTGATCCTCAAGTAAATGAGGAGACAATTGCAGCCTAAAACTCTTAGAGACAAATGCTCACAGATGGTTAGCTGTGTAGATTCAGAGTACAGCACCCTTGGATGGTCAAAGCAGGTGACAGAGGAATAAAGGAATCTTGAACTGTTTTTAAGATGTTTATTATGGGTAGGGGAAGGCATCCCAAATGAATATGTTTAATCAATGATGTAAGCTACACATAGGAAGGAAGGAAGGTACCCTTCTCACCTTTGGGATCCAGGAGATGAGCTGTAAATGTGTTTTGGCCATTTTAAACATATTTTTTAAAGTTCTCCAACTTGTGCATCTGGGAATAATGAGAAGGTTTCTAAAGTGGTTGGAGCTATGGATGTTTGGTCAAGAGTGCTATAGTTATAAAGGCAGAAAGACAGGGACAGCAGGCTTGTTCCACCTGGCTTTTTTCACCATATAAACTCAGGGCAGCTTACAAAATACAACAACATACGTCCAGAGTCACAGTAAGGTAAAGGTTCCCCTTGGCATTTAGTCCAGTTGTGTTCGACTCTAGGGCACGGTGCTCATCCCTGTTTCCAAGCCATAGAGCCAGCATTTGTCCGAAGACAGTTTATATGGTCACGTGGGCAGTGCGACTAGATGGGACACTGTTACCTGCCCACCATGGTGGTACCTATTTATCTACTTGCATTTTTGCATTTTGCATGCTTTCGAACCGCT